AGCAACCAATCGGGCCAATTTTTAGCAACCAATCGGGCCAATATAAGCTGCGTTCACACGTATACACGGCTTAGCTGGTACCGTACTTAGTTGGTGCTAAGTCCAGTTAAAATGCGTTCACACGAGATACACGAGATTCGAGGCTTAGCTAGCGCGGTATAATATAGACTGGTACCTGGTCGACAGTTCCACACGCTACCCTAACGTCTTGCAGCGAACGGGTAGCAGTCTAGGTTAGAGCGCACAAACAATACGCGGCCAGCGTGGTGCCGAATATACGCGGCTTGCTTAGCCACGGCTTGCTTAGCCGCGAATGCTCCGGCTTGCTAAGCGCGGAATCATATTCCGCGCCAACTAAGCCGCGTATATTCGGCACCACGCTGGCCGCGTATTGATTGTCGTGTGAACCTAGACTGCTACCCGTTTGCTGCACGACGTTAGGGTAGCGTGTGGAACTGTCGACCAGGTACCAGTCTATATTATACCGCGCTAGCTAAGCCTCGAATCTCGTGTATCTCGTGTGAACGCATTTTAACCGGACTTAGCACCAACTAAGTACGGTACCAGCTAAGCCGTGTATACGTGTGAACGCAGCTATATAGTTATATCATCAATGTTAACGAATTATTATTGATATTCATTTTGTACCCATTTATTATTATTATTAAATTATTATTATCATTACGATTACGAAGGTAACCTCTTCTGGCACATAGAACGTTCATTTACACACGAATGATTAAATTTTAAATAATGATCTAGCAATGAATTCGAATTGAGCAATTAAAGAATGAATTTCGTGCGACATTTCTATGCAGAGAGATGTATACCATAGAACTAGAATAGAAGTTCTATTCTATTCTAGTTCTATGATGTATACTCAGCGTGACGTCACCGGCGATATTCTCTCGTTATAAACACGGTGAGAAAAAACGCTGCATGGTTTAACTTAAGTTAACGATCGTTCGACCTTTCAGAAAATGGACTGGTTACGTGCGCCGAATTCAAAGCGGCTACATTCTGGCAAGAAGACCAGATTGAACAGCTTGCATGCTGTTATGATGAGCGACCGCCACCACCACCACCACCACCAAAGTAGAGGACGACCTCCCTTCAAGCACCACCCACCACTACAGTAGAGTACAACCCACTAGCACCACCCACCACTACAGTAGAGTACAACCCACTAGCACCACCCACCATCCACGGTAGAATACAATCCCTAGCACCACCCACCACCCACATTAGAATACAATCCCTAGCACCACCCACCATCCACGGTAGAGTAAAATCCTGAGAGAACGATAGAAAAGGAATGTAAGGATGAATAGAAATAATAGAAATATAGAGCAATACAGTGTTTTATATTTGATATAACATGTATAATAAAATACGAGACACCGTACCTTCAGTAATCCAGGGTTTTTTGTTTTAACAAGCTGGTTTAGCGCGGTGTTATGTGTTTTGTGTTAAGATCAGAGAACGCCACAACAAGTCATTTTGTTTTCTCACTAATCCAGTGTTACGTGGTGCGCCAATTTTAATCTCATCGAGGCGCAAATATGTGGCGTTTCAACGTAGTTATATAACAGTGACGTAAATTAAATATAAAAAAACGTGAAATGTCTACAGGCACAGTAACACGTATAACGATATCGTGGATTTCTTACGTTACTTTGGAACTGAAGCTGCGATGGTTAAATTTTGTTTATCAGAAAAAAATGAAGATGCAGAGAGTACGAGTCATCGTCAATATTGGGATGATTATTGCAAGTTTCGATGTCATCAATGCATGTGGGTGGTCTGGAACCAGAACTGGTAAGTTGAACCTTCCGTTTAATAAAAAAAACTAGGATGAAAGTAAATAAAAAATGTAAATGAAAATAAAAAAGTAAAAAAGTAAAAGTAAAAAAGTAAATGAAAATAAAACAAGGAAAAAATGAAATAAAAACTTTTGCCACAAGGTGTGGTATTAGCCACGCTTGAGTCGTCATCTTAATTATATCGCTATGAAATTTACACGTTATCATTTATTCACCGTTTGGTAATACGCACAATGTGTTTCTCTTGAAAAACCCACAAACACAACTACGTTCACCATTGTCTAGCGTTATTTGTGTTTATCACAAACTGAACTAGACCGCGTGATTTTTCGTCGAGTAATCGAAACCACGGACACGATTTCGCGGGTAAACACATTTGTCGTGTGTTTGAATAATGCTTCCGCGTCTTGTTTGTTGTGCGCGCGTGTAAACGACTCCTTTTAGCTGCCGTCTGTCAATCATGAGAGTGAAAGCATAAAAGAAATCGGTGTTTGAGAGGGGCGTGTCTATATTCAAGCCGGTACGGGAGATTACGGTACGCATATATTTGCTAATATATTGACTAAGCGTGCGTCAATAAACTCAATATTCACAGAGAGTATAGCTAAGACATGTGTCTATAGGTATCAAGAATTTCAGAAATTTAATCATCTGTAATTCACTTCCGCGCGCATATATTTGCTAATATATTGACTAATCGTGCGTCAATAAACTTAATATTCACAGAGAGCATGGGGGTGTCTATATTCAAGCCGGTACGGGAGATCATTTGCACAATATATTCTTGATATATTTGAGAGCCGAGGTCGTCCATTGTTTAGCGTCTCCCTCGCTGACTTCGACGGCTGTGAATTCAACCCACTACTAACACCGGCTGTGAATTTACTCATGGCCTCGAAAAAACCCTCGTTCTCAACGTCCTTGACGGACTCTGAATCCGTCGTGGTTCGGATGACCACTTAAAATAGCGGCTCCGTTTCCAGTAATGGCGATTGAAGTTGTAAATTGTAAGTTGTAAATTGGTAAATTGGTAATAATGGGTACAATTCAGAAAAGCAAACCACTCTGGCAGTGACTGCCATCATTTAAGTACAGGGCATCGGATTGGCGTAATGCTGTTCTAACCCTAACTCAATAAATGAGACCCCCTCAACTATAGCCGGGAAGTTGGGGGGTCTCATTCGCTTATTCGCATTCAACACTTGGTGGCACACTCCCTAACTAACTAGCTGTGTAACTGTCTAGCTGTGTAACTAGCTGTGTAACTGTCTAGCTGTGTAACTAGCTGTGTAAACCACACTCATGGTGTAACTAGCTGTAACTGTCTAGCTGTGTAACTGTCTGCGTAAACCACACTCATAGTGTTACTAGCTGTGTAACTGTCTATCTGTGTAACTAGCTGTAACTATCTAAGTGTGTAACTGTATAGCTGTGTAACTAGCTGTGTAACCATCTAGCTGGGTAACTAACTAGCCATCTAAACCACAGCTCGATAGTAGAGAGAGTGAGAGTGCGTGTGCGGGGAGCGCCCTAACCTACATCCACACAGACACGTACTCGGCGTCTTGCAGGTGAGTACATTGCGACGCGCCCGTCCGGCGAGCAGGTGGACATGTACACGCACTGTCACTACGACGTCGACCGTGACAGGCAGGTGACAAAGCTAGAGGTCGGCTTAACGGTCAACATGATAGAGTCACAGTACGAGGAGTCATTTCACATCGCAGACACAGACCGTACGTGTCATATATATATATACCCTATAATATATATTATATATATATACTATATAAGTATAT